AATTTAGTGAAGGGTGTTTTCGTGCACATGTATCGCTATTAAAAATTGTATGCGATCTTTTGCGTGATAACCAATAGGAACTTGAGCTAATTAATTTACCGATGTGACACAAATGAAAACACATAAGCAGTTTTACTTTGTGGAGAAATTTAAGTTTATTAATCCGACTTTTAGCGCCTGGCTAAAGCTTGGTCATAATGATTCGAATTAAACTTTATAGTTGAATTCAGATTTTTCGGTGATGACTACATATAGTAATCTAATTAAGTGTATGGTGGTGGTGATTGAATTAAGTACTTTTGAAACTATTAGTGTAGAAAGAAAAGGAGAAACAAATAACAGGATATCTATATGCTATTTACATTTGATTGGAATTATATTCTATGACGAGAAGTTAAATTTATAGAGTACGTGGGTTATGATTTTGCGATACATGTATTTAAATTACCAAAATCTTTAAGTATTTCATCTGCGTAATATATTGCATCGTCAAATAGTTCTGGTTTTACTGCGTCATCATCATCTAACACAGTACTCGTTTCGCTACAATCATCATCAGAATCAGAATCCCAATTGAAATAAGACTTTTGCTTATAAAAATCTTCGGAATCGAAATTGTTGTTCTTTTTCTTTTCGAGTCGTCGTTGTTGTTTAAACTCGCCGTCGTCGTCGTTTTCGGCGGATAATGTTGCGCTACTATGACTCGAGAAAGAGTCCCATGAAGAACTTGGTTTCTCCAGGGTTAGTGATTTTGTGTAGATGTCTTCTTCGTGTGTTGTAGCGTTGACGTGATTATCATTTATTTCCTCGTTGTCGTTAGATGTGACTGACATTTGAAAATTTATTGTGGGATCAGTTTGATTATTTTCCTCGACTACTTTCTTGATCCAGGAAATTGTTTGTGAGTGGATGTTTTCATGAGTTTGAACGTTGCTGTTATCGTTTGATTGAGACATGTTTAGCGTTTAGAGTGATTATGTGTATGTGAAAGTGGAATACTTGAAGTTGAGAAAAGAAAAAGTATCGTTTGATGTTGTTGTCTTATTCTTTGCAAATTTGATTTGTGAGAAAACTATCCCAGCGTTGAAACTCGTATTTATAGAAAATCCGAGTTCATCTATCAACTACATGTATTAATGTAACACATACATACGTGCATATTTACACAGCCAAAAATAAGTATGCACATATGCATTCTTAAACATTTTCCGTTCCCGATAAAAATAGAAACAATTCCTTTGTTTACCGTTCACCCAGAGTTTCGATTTGATTTATTCTGAACTTCTTTTTAGAATATTGATAGAAACACAAGGGAAAATCGTTTACCGTTATAGTTTTTTTTCCCTTTTTTTTTCATTGTTCTATTTAACAAACATTTACAAATATGCCGAAATGGTCCGACTAAGATGCAATTATTGTTTTAATGTCACCGGAATTTATCTGCCATCAACATTTTATAATTTTTAGTCAATAGACATTTGAATTTTACATTCACCCCGCATTTTCTAATGAACAGATTTCTCCAGAATTTACCTTTAACATACCATTTTCCAAAAGTGAATAGTGATTTTGAATACTCACATTCTATACAACTTCATCAATTCATTATGCTTTTTCAGGCAATAACAATAATCATCATAATAATAATCATAATAATGATGATAATGTTTAATTCATTTATGTTGCTCTAAACGAAGAAAACAATATTCCGATGACAAAAACACCGATACGTATCCCTAGACAATCTAACATTTTTCCAGCAAATACATGTAGATGAAAAGATGTGCAGAAAACAATACACCACCATTCATGCATTACCATAATATCTTCTTCCCTCTGTTATATCGTTCATGCATAATTATGCATGTAATTTAAAATTTGAATTTTGATTCCATCCGATTCATATACGGTACATGTATGTATTCCTCATGAAATCAGATGATGTCGAAAGTTCCATCTAGATTTTTAATCGCCTTATTATTACGACATGGGCGGGCTAATACTACGCAGAACCAATTCAATAAACAAAAATACCGGAAAAATTTTGTCATCGCATTTTTCCGCCAAATTATTGGTTTTTCATTGTAATTGATTATTTGTTGAAAAAAGGAAACTGTATAATCGATTCAGCTTCAATGGGGGAATCAATTTTAAATTCTTAACGCAGCGGGTGTCGTTAAATTTGATTTATTTATTTTTTTAACCATGTGATGGCGATAAAGACATGTAGTGAATTCCAATTCTCAAAATTTTTCCAGAAAACTTTAATCATTAAACACACTATAACTATTAGCATAAATTATAATAATTACATGATATCTATATGTACAAGTGAAAATTAAAAAAAATAAAAAGAAAAAACTCCAAATTTATCATATACATATAATATTTAATTTTTTTGACTCGATAAAATTATCTAGAAAATCGCTAGCGTAAAATACAACATCATCTAACATTTCTTTCTCGTCATCGAAATCATTTAGTGTTGTTGTGTCGCTGCATTCACTATCTGAGTCCCATAATAGATACGATTTCTCCTCGTCTTCATTGTCATCGTTAATGTCAGAATAATTATCATCATCAGCTTCTTCATCTTCTATTATCGTTTCATTGCTGGGACTCCAACATGGTTCAAGTAATGATAGTTGTAAGCTTTCAAAATTTTTCGAAAGATCTTTCAAGTTTTTATCTGAAAGATCATTCTGTGGAGTAAGTTCATTTTCGTCGTCGTCGAAGAGACGGTCATTATTATCATTTGGTGTATTTTGAATATTTGTTTCCGATAATATTGAGGATATCTCTTTCCCGCTCTCACATGGTCTCGCGCTAGAGGAAGACAAGTCTTTCTTGGTAGTGAAAACGGGTATTTGTAGTAGAGTCTTTGGCACTGTAATAGGCTTTGGTGTTTCCAAAGATTTTAACCAAGCGATTGTTTGTTGACGATTAATGTCGTCTATTACGAACATTTGATTGTCATAACTAGTATTCAATTTATTTGTCGCGCCGTGAATCATTTTTCTTTTGTTTCGGCAAGTTTGTTGTTTATTGTATGATAAAGAAAGAATATTCTTATGAGGAAGACAAAATTTTTTGAGAGAGATTTGCTAATTCTTTTAAGTAGCATATCGATATTTATAAGATTCTCATCACATACTGTACTTTCATTTTAAAGTACACGCATATGAATGAAACGATGGGGATTAATAAAAAAAAAAAAAAGTTTCACACTTGAATGGATAAGAACCACATGAACTCTAATTTTGACTTTTTGGTCATTGTGAAGTTAAAAATAGTAATAATTTTGGTATAGACTTGGTGACAAGCAGTGGTACGAAGAATACACAAAGTTATACAGATTATGAAGTTGAAACGATTTGTCGATCTTTCTGAGTCCTGTACTATTGTACTATTCTCTTATCGGTATTACGGAATATAGTTTATTTCTAAAATGTGATTGATTCTTCCAAAACAGGACCGGTATAAAACTTGTAATTGAGGTTATACATCATTACCAAGAATGAATAATGACAGCTCGCGTTTCGAAATTTTTTAACCATGAAACACGTAACACGCAATTTTCGTTGATGTTCTCTCAATTACTGTCCTCTCTTTTCATTACTTTCTCTCATGTGTTTATCTTTTATCGGGTCGAGAAAATCTTTGTTCCGCAAGAATCTCCATCCTATTATTCTTTTATTTCTGTTTCCATATAAGGAATTATTTATAAAATTAAATTTGAAACACAAAACGTCATTTGCATTGTCTATGATAGACATTACCCTCGCAAAAAGAATTAATGCATAAAATAAAAAATTCATGAACGAGAATGCTGAATAAGGAAATTCCGAGATTTTCTTTGCAAATTAATGCTATCATTTTGTGCATTGTTCGAATGCACGTTGACATTTTCATTCTTCTTGAAACAATACGAAGCATCAATTGCGATGCATATCTTCGATTTTGTCAATGTATTGTGTTGTTGACTTTCTTGGTTTATTGAATGATGTCAATGTGGGATTGGTGCAATGATGAATTTCTGCAAGAAAATGATTGTATAATTCATTTTGGAAAGTCGCGGAGTTTTTTGGTTTAAGCTTCAAATAGTGTTTATGTAAGCAGTCTTTGATTAACTGTTATGTAAACTTTATAAAATTTGTCGTTGCATACATTTTAATGCACATTTGCGTATAGATTTTTTTGTTAATTCCTTATGTATCATCAACAGCCTTTTTGTATGTCGCAAAAAAAGATTCACTTATTTTCCCTCTACTAAAATGCAAGCAATATAATACGATAATTATCTTAAAGATCATTCTACTTTGAAATAATTATAATTTACATTTTTTGTTCTAACAAGTAGATTATAATAAATATGGTCTTGCAATCAACCTATCAACAACTAATGATAACAAATAGCAACATGCAATTATTATCATAATAAAAAATGTTTGAGTTGAAACGTATTGGAATGCCAAAACTTTCTGTGAAAATGTAACTAGAATTTGATAAGGTATTTCATTATATTTATGATGGTTAGTTCGTTGAAATGGTCAATTTTATGCAAAGCTTTTTTTTGAATATGATACTGCCGTATGTTATTATGAAAGAAGATCAAATTTAAACTTAATTGCATGTTTTGATGTTTCAAAGTTCAGCTAGTAAAAGCAATGGATTTTGATAATGAACGCCTGTTTGGAAACGACAACTTCGCGTGATTTGCACAATGGCTGTTAAAAAAAGCATCGAGAAACAGTACCGATTTTTAATTTAGGGCGAGGTTTCAATCTTTCATACTTTAAACTTTAATTAAATCAGAAGTTTTTCATGAAGGTAGATTAAATCAGAATATGTTTGAGCCATAAAATTCTATAAATGTGATATCATGTGCACAAGCAAAATCCAAACTTCTCCAATTCATTTTATCTCTGATCCTTAAAAGATACTGTCACGCACAATTCAGAAGTTAGTTGGACTATAGAATTGCACGACGAGGGTTGAGAGCTAGACTGAATAATTTACAAAAGTGAATTACACTAGGAAGCTTCACGGAGATTGTGCAATCAAGAGGCAAATAGTTCAAGGAGTTAAAGGTATGGTATGAATAATAGTTAAATTCAAATAATAATCGATTGCTAACAAAATGAATCATTAATTCCCAAATAATAAATTGCTATATTTAATTCCAAATACAAAAAAGGTTTCTTCCAAAATAATAAAAAAATCAACAAAATCATCAAGAATCAAACGTCATCAATTTGGTATGGCCAAAGCAGTAAAGCCTTCGATTTATTAAGCACCATTGATTTTGTTAAAAACACGAAAGAAATTAAATGTTAGGTAAGAGCTAAAATAATTTATTTATTATTTTCCTTCCAACCACAGCTATCATTTGTATACAATTTGGCTACTAACTATCTATTTATGTCACATTCGCTAGTTACTACAGCAATTCGTGGGTCCTAACATATAAAAGAAGAATTGTTGGTTGAATTCTAGCAAAAGGTATGGACTTGCTTCGAGTCAAGCAAAAATATTAGAATCAATTGTAAAATAAAGTAAATTTATTACGTACCGGTACAACATACCGATACAAAATTATTTGGCACATGAAATAACCAAAATTAGAATAAAATGTACTACAAAAAATAGACGAATAGGAGAATAGATATCCAGTAAACT